GTGTACCGTTATTCCACAAATATAATATGACTTTAGCGGATATATCTTGGGGTTGCTATGTTGCGAAAAATTTAGACAAGGCAATAAAAAAAGATCGTCAGATTATCAAAGAAATACCCACATAAACGTGATTTTCACGTGAAGTTGTCCAATGACTTTTTTAGCATACTGTATTTGACAGTAATTTTCATTTATTTATTTATTTATTCATTTAGATGGTCCCGATGAAAAGGATAGACAATTGCTTGTAGAATTTGATGTTGTTATTGAGGAATTTTTACTTCTTCCGCAAGAGTATGTTCTTCTTTATTATTCATTCATAATATATAATTATACTTGGGCACTTAATATGTTTTCTTTAGGTGCCAGGCAATCATTGCAAACATTACTAAGCAAATGGGCAATGGTATGGCAGATTTTGTATCGATTTCAGCTCGTGATAAATATAGCATAATCACGTTACAAGAGTTTGATAAGTACTGTTATTATGTTGCTGGACTCGTTGGAATTGGTATAAACGATCTGTTTAACTCTGTTGGTGCAACAATTCCTGATACAACAAAAAATTTTAATACGTGAGTTTACATATAATGTTCAGTAGTATTTTTTTTTTTTTTTTTTTTTAGGTTTTTTTTTTTTTACTATACAAATGTCAATTTATTAATTTAGTATTATATCAATGGGAATTTTTTCTGCAAAAACTAAACATACTTCGAGATTTTGTGGAGGATCTGAGTGAAAAACGAAGGTTCTGGCCAAAAGAAATTTGGCATCAATATGTTTCAGAAATTGAAGACTTAGTTCTTATAGAAAACAGGCAAAAAGCCTTAAATTGTCTTTCCGCTGTTGTGTTAAACACTTTACACCATGTACCTGATTGTTTGAGTTATTTAGCTGAACTCGACGATCCTGGTATTTTTTCTTTTGCTGCAACACCACTTGCCATAGGATATAGTACTTTAGCATTTACTTTTAAAAATTATGATTCTTATAAGAAAGTCGTAAAAATTAGGAAAGGAGAAGGTGCCAAGGTATGTCTAATGATTTTGAACTTAAATTTGCAGGAAATATATCTTATTACTATTTTGTTGCTATATGATTTGTAATAATCATAATCCGATTTTATAGCTTGCCTTCAGATGTACAAGTATGTCTGAAGTTGCAAAAATATTTTTTGAATACACTCAAGTAATAATTTCAAAAAATAATGATCCACAAGATCCAAGTTTTGCCAAAATTAATGATATTTGTGAACAGGTATTTTTATATATAAGTTTGAAATTTTTGTATAGTATTGACAAACATTAATATTTTTTATAATTTTGAATGAAGATCATAAAATTGTGTAAAGAAAACATAAATTTAGACAACTAAAAATTTGAGATTATAACACATTAAGGATTGTTTAAACAAACTTTATCTTTTTTTTATTTATACAATCCTTCAAAGAGATTCATTATTTTATTATAGGATGCGAAAAAAATGAGTTAATTTTTGGTTACCAAACTTGTATCTAAATCACTTTATTATTAACGTAAAAAAAATAAAACCTATCGACTATGATTTCATAATTTCATAATAGATCATAATGATCCGAATTGTTTACCTTGCAAGTAATCAAG